GCTGTGGGCCAGAGCCAGCGAGGACGCCCCCATTGCGGCAGGTGCTCTGTCCTCTGCAGCACATGGCCTGTCTCCCCTAGCTGACACCATCTTTCATCAACAGGGTGGGCCTGAACACAGGGCAGTCCGCTTCCTCTAAGAAGTTTCTCTCAGAGGAGGAGGACACCATCCCATATTCGGGTCCGCCTGCCGGAGTCTGGGAGATGAGATGCCATTGGTTTGGGTCCTGGCTTTGCTGTGCCTTGTCTAGTTGGGGATGTCAGGTGAGGTATTAATGGCGCCTTTGGGAAATGGTGTAAGAACAAGGCCCCTCTTATGGGGTTGCCAGGAGGGTCTAGGGCCACGCAGCAAAGCCTGGCTCACAGCCTGTGTTCCCTGTGCTGGTGCACAGTGTCCTTGTGGGACTCCACCGGTGGGACAGCCAGCTTCAGACAAGGCCCGATGGGACTGCTGGACACCAATGACCAGGGTGGATGACAAGGGAGGCAGAGACATTGAGTAGACATGGTAAAAAGGATTCTGGTGGCCTTGTGGAGGGAAACTCAAGGCTGGCATGGCAGGGTGACCAGTGCTGTGATCAAGCAGTCCAGGCTGAGGGACACTGATTCTTCTGCCTCTGGGAGCTGTGTGCCACCACACCTGGTGAGATTTTTGTTTTTTATTGTCATGCTAGGCTTGGAACCCTTGTGCAGGCAAGGCAAGATTCCTACCACCGAGCCTGGCCCCTCGCAACAGCATCGTAGTTCTGTGACAACTGTGTCTAGCCTCAAGGAGTCAAAAACAGTGTTTTCTGAAAAACTGGGTTGGACGAGTCAAGAGTCTCTGGACATGACGAGGTCATGATCTAGTGATGCTCAGGGAAAGTCTGAGTTAAAAGCTCCATGGCTGAGCTGCAGCTCAGCACAGAAGATCTTACCTAGGAGGGACGAGGCCCTGGGTTTGAGCTCTGGAAAATAAAATACCCCCCCCCCCCCAGCAACTTTATAAAATGGGAGGGTACAGATAAAAGCATCGAGTCAGGCCTGGACAGATGGTTCAGTGGTTAAGAACACTTGCTGCTCTTTTAGAGGACCCAGCACCCACATGGTGGTTCAGAACTGCCTGTAATTCCAGTTTAGGGGATCCAGCGCCTTCTTCTAGTCTCCATGGGCACCAGGCATGCATATGGTACATATACTATAATACAGGCAAACATCCATACTCATAAAATAAAAATAAGTAAACCTCAAAAAAATAAAGCATTTAGTCAGTCTTTTATATTTGTTATTTTAACAAATATATCTGTAGCCAAACTTGGTGGAGCACATCTATACCCCTAGCACTTGGAAGACAGACAGGACAAGTTTCTGTTTCATAAAACCAAGGGCTGGGCTGGAGAGATGGCTCAGAGGTTAAGAGCACTGACTGCTCTTCCAGAGGTCTTGAGTTCAATTCCCAGCACCCACATGGTGGCTCACAACAATCTGTAATGAGATCTGGTGCCCTCTTGTGGTGTGCAGGGACACATGCAGACAGAACACTGTATACCTAATAAATAAATAAATCTTAAAAAAAAATAATAAAATCAAGGGCTAAGCATGTAGCATGCCCAGAGAACAGGACATTTGTCTAGTGTTTACAAGGCCCTGGGTTCTACTGCCAGCATGGGGGGGAGAAGGTGTGTGATCCAGATCATGGGTAGAGTGCTTGCCTAGCATGTACAAGGTACTGGGTGAAAAAAAATGTGAATGTGACCTCACCTAGAAACAGGGCCTTTGGCGAGGTAATCAAGTTGAAATGAAGCCAACAGGATGGATGTGAATCTGAGAACATTGGGGAACGGTGGCCATGGAGGGAGAGGCCCTATGAAGATGAAGTGAGTACTGGGAAGTAAAGCAGCTCCTCCTGCCAGGGAAGGCCAGAGTAAGCCAGCAAAGTACATGATGCTGGAGAAGGCACCAGAACAGACCATCTCTCCCTCATGGCTACTAGTGGGAGACCCTGCCGCCCCTCCAGAACTGTGAGACATCCAGTGGGAGACCCTGCCGCCCCTCCAGAACTGTGAGACATCCAGTGGGAGACATTGTCACTCGCCTCCTCCAGAACTGTGAGACATCCAGTGGGAGACCCTGCCGCCCCCTCCAGAACTGTGAGACCTCTCGTGGGAGACCTTGCCGCCTCCTCCAGAACTGTCCTGTGTACCATGACCAAGACAGTGGCACCTATCTTCCAGTGGGAAAAAATGTAAAGTAGAACAGAGTGAAGAGACTTGGCTATCCAGCCTGCAAAGAGCTATCTGGAGGTGGTGTTAGCCTTAGACTATCTGGAATGAGAATGTTCCAGGCCAGGGAAAGAGGCAGTGCAAAGGCCTTGGGGTGGGGTCAACATGTATTAAATTTGAGGCCCAGCAAAAGGTCAGTGCAGTTGGAGCAGCATGAAGGATAGAGGTGAGGGACAGGTCAGGCAGGATCTGGGCAGGAGTCTGTTCAAGGAACGTGGTACGTAAGCGCTTGATACAGAACATGCCCAGTGACCCTGAACATGCCCGGTGACCCTGAACCTCCAACATTAACCCTGGAGAGGGGTGGCTGGATATTGTAAGAAGGGGAGAATGCCAGATTCTAATTTTCAGAGTCCCCTCTAGCTGTCAGTGAGATGTGTGAACTGGATTTTCAGAGCCTGCTGATACCTCCAGGGACCCTCTTCTGTCTCCTGGTGCCTCTTTCCCTCCAAGCTCTATGTCACCCACAGATTTAAACAGCTCCATCCAGGTCAGGAAAGAAGATGTTGGTAAGAACAGATGGAGGAGGGCATTAGTTCCTTATCCAAGAGGATAAGAGCTTTGGCCTTGGCTATGTGGATTCTGATACAAGGGCTATCTCCCACTAGCATCAAATCCTGAGCCTCAGTTGCCTCATCTATTAAGTGGGGAGAATATCATGTCCTCAGGGAGACGTTGTGAACCTTCAGTAAATGAATGCACTTAGAAGAGGCCAGCAAGATGGCCCAATGGGGAAAGGGGCTTGCTGCCAAACTGGAGGAGCCAAGTTTGATCCCTGGGATCCACACAGAGAGAGGAGAGAACTGCCTCCTGAAAGGTATCTTCTGACTTGTACATGTGCACCTCTCTTCAGTACATGAATAAATAAAGCTCATCAATAATCTTTTGCTTGTTTCTCAAGACAGGGATTTTCTGTCTAGCTTTGGCTGTCCTGGAACTCACTCTGTAGACCAGGCTGGCCTCAAACTCATAGAGATCTGCCTGCCTCTGCCTCTTGAGTGCTGGAATTAAAGGAGCGCTTAACTACTGCCCAGTTTTTTTCTTTCTCTCCTTTTTTTTTTGTAATAATCTTTACATATGAAAAATAACTCAGAACTGAGCCTAGCATCTGGTAAGTACAAAATAAACACTGGTTATCGGATTCTTTAATTAAAACCTAAAAGCTCTTTGAAAGTTTTTGTTGTTGTTGTTTTTTGTAGTGCAGGGGATTAACAGTAACTTATGGATACTAGGTAATACTATTATTGAGCCACATTTCCAGTTCTCCTTCACTGGGGAATTCTAGGCAGGGGCTCTACCACTGAGCCACACCCCAGCCCCTCACTGGGGGATTCTAGGCAGGTGCTCTACCACTGAGCCACGCCCCCAGCCCCTCACTGGGGGATTCTAGGCAGGGGCTCTACCACTGAGCCACTCCCCAGCCCCTTACTGGGGGATTCTAGGCAGGGGCTCTACCACTGAGCCACTCCCCAGCCCCTCACTGGGGGATTCTAGGCAAGTGATCTGCTGAGCTAGTATGCCTCAGTACCAAAGCCTTCTCCTTCCTTCTTTCTTTTCTTTTCTTTTTTCTTTTCTTTTCTTTTCTCTTCTCTTCTTTTCTTCCTTCCTTCCTTCCTTTCCTTTCTTTCTTTCTCTTTCTCCCTCCCTCCCTCCCTTCCTTCCTTCCTCCTAATTTTTCAAAACAGGGTTTCTCTGTGTTGCCTTGGCTGTTCTGGAACTCCCTCTGTAGACCAGGCTAGTCTCAAACTTAAGAGATCTTTGCCTCTGCTTCTTGAATGCTGGGATTAAAGGTGTACAACACTGCCACCTGCCCTCAAAGCCCTTTCTAACTGCACAGCCCACTTCCCCTCTCTTCACTCTATACGGAGCCGGAGAGATGGCTCTCCGCAATCAAAAAGTGCTTGCTGTACGGTCGTAAAGTTCAGATCCTGGCACCCAGGTAACAAGCCATGCATTCTACCCACTCCTGCAACCCCAGCTCTGAAGAGGATCACAGGATCTTGCTGGGTTCTAGTTTAACAGAGAAAATGAGAGATTAAGGTTCAGGGAGAGACCCTGCCTCAAAGCAATAGGCAGAAAACAACAGAGAAGAATGCCTGATTTGTTTTTCTGGCTTTCATGTATGTGAAACACACACACAAACTCATCTACAAATAAATGAGTAAATTAAAAAGCAAGCAAGCGGGCTGGAGAGATGGCTCAGAGGTTAAGAGCACTGGCTGCTCTTCCGGAGGTCCTGATTTCAATTCCCAGCACCCACATGGTGGCTCACAACCATCTGTAATGAGATCTGGTGCCCTCTTCTGACCTGCAGACATACATGCAGGCAGAACACTGTATATATAACAAAGAAATAAATCTAAAAAAAAAAAAAAGCGAGCAAGCAAGCAAACCACAGCCGAGGAGCTGACTCAGTGGGGTATGAAGTACTAGCCATGCAAGGTACATGAGCCTCCGTGGAAGCGGATATGGTGGCATCTAGCTACACTCCCAGCATTCCTAACCAGGGATGGGAGCAGGAACAGGAGTGCCGAGGTTACAGCAGCATCAGCATGCTGCCACACTCAGCTACAGTTTCTTATTTGCCGTATTTACTGTCGTCCCAACTGAATGTCAGTTCCCTAAGAACAGGGGCTTTGTCACCTGTCCTGTTCACAACTGTAAACCCAGGGTGTGGAATACAGTGAATCACCCTCTTCCTGTCCCAGAGACGCCCCCACGGTCTCTCAGTGGCACTTACTTCTTAGTGTCGACAAAGGGGAGTGGCCGTGGTGGGGGCTCGTCTGTTCTCTTCCATCCGGCTGGATGCTTGTTGTGCGCAGGCTGCTTGGAGAAGAAGGACTTGGGGACGGACGTGGAGAGCTGGAAGGGGCTGCACTGAGTGAGCTGGGAGGGCCGGGGAGTCTCTGCACTGGCTGTTTTGTAAACCTGAGCGGGGTAGCCAGCCCTGGAGCCCATGTCACTGCAAGAGAAAAACAAAGAAATGAGTCACTCACACACACGCTGCTGAAGCAGATTCCAGCGACAGTTAGGTACAGTGGTGCACACTTTAATCCTGGCACTCAGGTCAGCTGTGGCTACATAAAGTTCAAGACCAGCTAGGTCGACACGAGAGGCTGCTTGAAAGGGAGAAGAGGCTGGGGCATGGCTCTTTGGCAAAGCACTTGCTGCACAAGAGTGAGGAGTGGAGTCTGGATCCCCAGCACCCACATGGGTGGGTGGGTGTGGCAGCCTGCCTGTAATCCTAGCAGACAGCAGAGGCAGGGTACCCCAGTAGGCTGGAACCAGTGAACTCTGGGTTCAAGTGAGAGACCAGGTCTCTATTTATACACTGCAGAGTGATTAAGAAAGGCTGGTGTCAAGTTAACCTTTCACCTCTACATGTACATGCACACGCATGCACGCCACATAAACACACATGCACTCTGGGCGGTGGTGACACACACCTTTAATCCCAGCACTTGGGAGGCAGAATCAGGTGGATCTCTGGGAGTTTGAGGTCAGCCTGGTCTACAGGGCAAGTTCCAGGACAGCCAGGACTGTTACACAGAGAAACCTTGTCTTGGGGACACACATGTATGTACGTATGTATGTATATACATACCACATATATGTATACACCATATATAGATCATATACATATATGGTATATATAAATAAGGTTTACTTTGGATCGCAATTTCAGAGCATTCAGTTCATAGTGACCAGACTCCAATATATATACTTTTTATTTATTAGTATGTGTCAGAGTGTGTATGCCCACATGAGTTCTGGTGCCTGAGGAGGCCAGAAGAGGGTACTGGATTCCGTAAAGCTGGAGTTATAGGCAACTGTGAGCTGACTGACTTGGGTGTTGGGAACTGAAATGGAGTCCTGTGCTCTTAATCACCAAGTCAGCTCTCCAGCTTCACTCAAGCATTTAAAAAACACCCGAGCATCAAAGTATCACTCTGTCTAACTGACCTAAAACCACAACTCTATATTCTAAAACAAAAAGAAAAATTTTTCTTGCTTGAGATAAGATCTTACTATGCAGACCAGGCTGGCCTGGACTTGGAGACCTGCCTCCCAATCTCTGGGATTAAAGGTGCGTGCCACCATGACTGACTTCTAATTTTTACCTTCAAGATCTATTTATTATTATTGTGTGCACCAGGGGGGCGGACATGTGGAGGCAGGAGGATGACTTGGTGGAGTTGGTTCTCTGTCCACTGTTTACATGGGTTTGGGAATTGAACTCGGGTTGCCAGGCTTACATAGCAAGAGCCTTCACCACTGAGCCGGCTCCCTAGCCCCTTCGATTTGACCCCCCTGCTATCAATCGCAACTGGACTTTGGGCAGCCAACGGTGCCAGCAGGTAAGGCTTTCTTCTTTGTTGTGATTTGTTGGGAGACAAGGTCTCACACTACCTCCCAGGCTGGCCTGGAACTCACAGCAATCTTCTCACCCCAATTTCCCAAGAGGTGGTGGCACACACCTTTAACCCCAGCCCTTGGGAGGCAGAGGCAGGTGGATCTCTGTGATTTTGAGGCCAGCCTGGTCTACAGAGCAAATTCCAGGACAGTCAGGACTGTCACACAGAGAAACCCTGTCTTAAAAAAAAAAAAAAAAAAAAAAAAAAAAAAAGCATTTCAATGAACTGGATTGGACACGTTAGAAGAAAATGCTCTGGCACAGTGAGCAGGAGCTATTAATTCTACAGGTGGTGATGATGGGGATGTACGGAGGCAGAAAGCAAAACTAAACCACATACAGACGGTTCCAAGCAAAAAGGAAGTGGCCATCTGATACCTCGGTGGCAGAAGCCATCACGGTAGACCTTTGCTTCAACGTGGTATTTGTGCAGATGTGAGGCCTGTGGATGAAGAGCTGCCCTTTGCTTCCAGATGAGCAAGGCTGCAAGCCTGCTTCCATGCACACACTGGCTTTCTTCTGAGGAAGGAGCCCCAGTGGTGGTCCCTGAACTGCAGGTGTATGGAGCTGGCCTGTCCAGGGCTTAAGAGCCCTGTTCCAGCTAAGGCAGGGCAGGGGTGTGGGGAGATGCCTCCTACACCGTTGTCCCTTGCTTTAGCCACAGGCTGGGTGGACACAGCCCATTGGCTTCGTGAGCAATGTTACTGCTCCATCGAGGCTCTGAAGGGAAGGGTCGGCAGTCCCAGGTGGATGACGGTACAAAGTGGAGAGCTGCGGCCCTGTCTTTGGGGAAAGAGCAGGGTCGGTCTGGGAGGCAGGGACGTGGCTGACTGCAAAGACGTTGGACACAGTGAGGCCTGGTATCAAACATTTCCCACACATCACCTCATACAGCACCTGACACTTCCTGATGTAGGAGTCACTGTCATATTTCAGGCGGGGACAGTGAGGCCTGGGGAGCCTAAATAACTTGTCCTTAGTACATATGGGATGGACGCGCAGGACAAACCTCACCCTTTCTTCTGTGTTCTCGAGATGATTATTGTCAGGATAAAGGCGTAATAAAGAGATAACCCAGCTCTGGAGGGAGCCCTGTGCTAAGTCCTTTAAATTCACAGCTTCACTTTGTCCTCATGACCTTGGACCCTAGCTCTGCTCTGTTATTGTTATCATCTAATTTTTAGAGGCAGGATCTCATGTACCCAGGCTGGCCTCCAACTTGCTGTGTAGCTGAGGATGACCTGACCTCCTCCTGATCCTCTTGCCTCTACCTCCTGAGTGCTAGGATTACAAGCGTGTGCCACCATGCCCAGCCTGGGCTTCCATTACTATCCCATTCGATGGATAGGAGGGTGGGTTCAGAGATCGAGGGCCTGAAGGAGTTCACACAGCAAAAGTGGGGAGCTAAGACTTTGACACACACAGCGTAAGGAGGTCACGCAGGAGCAACATGTTCACACAGCCCAGGGGGTCTGGCCGTTCACCACCCGGCTCACCTGTTGAATCCACCCCGACCCCACACGCCCATGTTTGCCATGACCAGAGGGTCTGAAAGGATCATATTCTGATTCTTTGGCAGGATCTTAACAGGGGCCACACCCACCCTGCAGCCTCTTCAGGAGTGAAACAGAAAGGATTTAGAGTGAGGACTTCATCTGGATCCTATGCCCAACACTGCGTGCCACCTCTACCAAGTGCCTCCTGCCAGGATAGTCACCACTGTCTCTTCTACATGCCTTCTGTGTCCTTCTCACAGCCACAGGGACCCTATGGGAATGTGCAACACTCCAGAACTCTTTGTGGTTTCAGCTCATGCAGACAAGCAGAGTCCCCCACTCCATCTGCCATCTCCTGTGTCCTCAGTTTCTTCACTTGCCTGTCTTGTCTGTAGAAGCTACACAATGCTATTCCTCAAATACCCAGGAGTGTTTCTACCTCAGGGCCTCTGAGCTGCCCCTTTGTCCACAGGTCTCTGTCAGGCACTCCCTCAACCCCTTAGTCCTAGGAAAACAGACTGGGTTTTCCCCCCCTTGCTAGCTGTGACTCCCTGAGCAGATCTATCGTATGTGGCCCCAGTCTCCTGACACAGGCAGGGTGGGCCCCAGCAGACCCCCGGGTTACCTTTTAGGGCTGTGCCCGAGATGGAGCCCCAGAGAGATCCGGAGACTGCTAGCACAGCCTGGGAAGCAAAGCCACGTGCTTCCTGCCTGCTGGGAACGCCCAGCTGCGTCAGCTCCACGTGGAGCCGAGTCTCTGATCCCCTAGCTCTGACTGACAAATTGCTCTGGAAACCAAAAGACTTTGGCATGTGCACTGCTTCGGGCCAGGTAGTTATGCGTCTGGGCTTGCTGGGTCATTCAGGTGCCCAGGACAGGCACCAGCACCGGGCAGGGGCTTGGCAGTTGGGCTCCCATGACGAATGTCTGGGGTAGAATGGGGTAATATTTGTGAAGCTGCTGAAGTCATGGACCTGCACAAGCAGCTACAGGCTGTGTGGGCTTCGAGGAAAAGCTGGGGCCAGGGAAGTGGGTGGGGCTTCTCTGGGTGTGGCCAGGCCCATCTCTTCCTGACAGCTTTCAAATTCTGTCCTCTATTCTCCCTTCCTTTAAACAGCCTGTTTCTCTCAAATAAGACAGGAGTCTCATTGTGTAGCCCAGTTCAGCTCATGATCCTCTTGCCTCTGCCTCTGAGTACTTGGATTATAGGCCTGCAGCCAGAGTGATATTAAAAACAAACAAACAAGATACATCTGTCTATCTGACTGTCTATCTATCTATCTATCTATCTATCTATCTATCTATCTATCTATCTATCTACCTACCTACCTACCTACCTATGGGCTCAGCCACCTTCTATGGCTCCCATGCCCCCCCCCCCCCCCCCCCCCCGATCAAATCCTAGCCGCTGATCACAGTATTGAACCTGCTGGAGCAGGGCTCCTGCCCTCTGTGCCAATCTGACCTCCTGCCATGCTTTCTTTGGCTATCTGCCCCAACCTCTCTGGTCACCTGATATTCCCAGAGTACTGCGAAACAGGCCAGTTAGGCCCTGGCATTTGCTGTCTGGCTGCCAGGACCCTTGTTTTCTATGATAAATCAAGACACTGCCTGTCTCCCCATTTCTTTCCTCTGCCTTGGTTGCCATCTGTGTATCACTTGGTTGTTGTCTGTCTGTCCATCTGTTTCCTCTCTGCAGTAGAATGTCAGCTCCACAAAGGAGGGACTGGACCCTGTTCCCTAGAGCACCGAAGGGTCTAGAACAATGTCTAATGAGCTGGGCTTGGCTCGTCAGAGAAATGGGCTTCTCCAGCTGCTCCCGCACCCCAGCCACGGTGGCCATGGCTCCTCGCTTACAGCAATTAGCAGCAGCTCACCTAGGCATCTGCTCCAGGCCTGCACCCTCCTCAGCTCAGCCTCACCCTCCCTGGGACTCCACCTCCCGTCTTGCCCTCAAACCTCCTTTTCAAAGCCCAGATCTGGGACCAGGGGCCAGTTTAGCAGATAAAGGCACTTGTCACACAAGCCTAGTGGCCTGAGTTTGATTCCTGCAATCCACGTAAAGGCAGAAAGAAAGAACTGACTTCATAAAGCCAGCCTGTGATGTGCACCGTGGCTTGTGTGGTACACCATGTACACAAACACAGTTAGAAGAAGCAGCACAGATCTGCCCGGTCTCCTCTCGCTGAAACCTTTCCTGGCTGTCCTTGGCACTTAGGATCAAACTCACACTGGTAATGGAGTGCCTTGATGATCTCCCTGGCGCACCGTCGGGCCTGTGCTCAGGGACATGCCAGCTCCACCATTTTCCCCAGCCTTAGCCCTTTGTACCCACTGCTCCCCCTCTGGAGAACCCCCTCTGTAACCTCATCTTTCTCTGCTGCTTTTTTTTTTTTTTTTTTGGTTTTTCGAGACAGGGTTTCTCTGTGTAGCTTTGCGCCTTTCCTGGAACTCGCTTGGTAGCCCAGGCTGGCCTCGAACTCACAGAGATCCACCTGGCTCTGCCTCCCGAGTGCTGGGATTAAAGGCGTGCGCCACCACTGCCCGGCCGGCCTCTGCTGCTTTTTAAATTTGAGACAAGGTCTTACTATGTAGCCTAGGCTGGCCCAGAAATGATAATCCCTCTGCATCGGCCTCCGGAGTGCTGGGACTAGCAGCCCCTGTGCCTCCAGGCCTGGGTGGCTTTTGTTTGTTTGATTTTTTTGTCCGTGTCCAAGGTCAGGGCTATGGGGCTTAGTATGTGCAAAGCCCTGGGTCTGATTCCCAGCAACGAGCCCTTGCATCCACCTCATACACACAAAATGACAAAGCAAGCACCCACATAACTGCACCCCAGACTGGAAACATCTGGCCAGCCTCCTCTGAGGCTGCCTACTAGCACAGTTCGCCCATGACTTTGTTACCATCTGCCTGTTGTCTCCCTGGCGCCAGCCAACACTGGGCCTGGCACACACACACTTGCTTAGGAATAAACGGCAAGATCTGGGCAACAGAGAATGCTGTGGGGTGAAGACAAGGTCCGGGACTCTCATGACAGGCCTGTTCAGACCAGGGTACCACCTGTCCTCTGGGTACTGTCTGTTAGTCTCAAGGACTGGGCCTGCAATAGTAGGTGCAGAAGGCTGTGGGGCTGTCTGCTACCAGGCACGGTGTGGCCAGCAGGTGGCAGGGGTGCCTGGGGTCTCCTGAGACCAGGTCTGGCTCAAGTTGGTGACCAGCGACTGTGTAGGGGAATACGTGCATATCCATAGCACTGTGCAAACCGGGAGGGTGGGGGAACATGGACAACTGGATGCACTGTCTGGAACAATACCTTCGTGTGTGTGTGTGTGTGTGTGTGTGTGTGTGTGTGTGTGTGTGTGTGTGTGTATGAGACATGCTCTTGCCATGTGGCCTAGGTTGGCCTGGATCTCACAATCTCACTGTCTTAGCCTTCCCTGTGTTAGGATGACAGGTTTACATCACTACACCTGACTGAATATGCTTCTTTAAATCATCTCAGCTCTAACATGGTGTGTGGCAACTAGGGGGTACTTCCAGCACCTCGGGAACAGAGGCAGGAGGATTACCACCACAAGTTTGAGGCTAGCCTGGGCTACACAGTGAGTTCCACACTAGCCAGGGCTGCAGAGTAAGGTCCAGTCTCAAAAACAGATTACCTGCCCCCCTCCCCCCGGCCCCCAGAGGAGAGAGCAAGCAAGCCATCTTATCTCATTGATGGTAACTGGTCCAGGGCAGTGTCTGAACGATTGGAGTGGGTTGGAAGTGCTGCTGCTTCATAACGAAACATATATCCATTTAAGAGACAACATCTCCCTCCTCTTTCCACCCAGATCACCTCAGGCACCCCATTTTGGGAAATGCTGTTCTATACTAAAACCCGGTTGCCTAGGAGAAAACTTCAGGAAGCAGCTTTAATGAGTAGATAAGAATGATTTGCAATTAGCATCAATTGTCTATATGCAAATTAAAGCTCCCAACCACCAGGGCCCAGTTGTATAGTGGGGCTCCCCTCTCTCACTCCTTCCACTTCTGGGTTCAGCAAATACTTCTCTCAGATACAGGGTAATTTGTTCCCACCCCCTGCCTCACCCACCATCCAGGCCTGGCATTGCTACTGCCTTTATATCATGGATCTCAAACCCTACAAAACTGTTTTCTTTTCAGTGCTAGAGGCTGAACCTTGCTCAACAGTGAGGTAAACACTCAGCTACACCTCCAGCCCACCTTTAACTTGTGTCTGCTCTAAAACGGAGTCTCACTAAGCCGCCCAGGCTGGCTTTGAACTGGTGATCATTCAGCCTCAGTCTCCCAAGTGGCCCAGCTCCCACCAATGTGCCAAGAACAGGGACCACACAGGCTGGAAATGCCCTGCTGTGCTCTCTTGCCTTCACACCTCATACTGTTCAGTAGGCACAAAGCTCTGCCTTGTTCTGAGTGACGGCTGGACTGTCATCAGTGGTGAGGAACGGGACGGAGTTACAGAGGCCAGCACAGATCTCTAAGAGATATATGCTGAATGAATGAATGAGTGAGTGAGTGAGTGAAGTAAAGCAGTCAGTGAGGTCAGAAGTTCAGAATTACTGGTGTAGGAAGGTGGCCTAAGATAGCTCCCACACTGTCTTTCTTTGTCTCCATGGCAACCCTCCTGGGCTCCCTCAGATCAGGGTAGCTGAGGACTCAGGCACTCCTGACCTGCTGCTTTTCTTTTCTCTTTCCCAACTCTCCTATTTTTTCTTGTAGTTCTGGGATTTGAACCCAGGGTCTTGCAAGTATTAGGCAAGCACTGTACCTTCCCAGTCTAACTATGGTGGTTTTCAAATGTTGGAGAATGTTGGAGGAGTCATGAAACCCTTCTAGCAAGGACAAAGCCATGTTCAGCAGTTCATGACTAGAGCAGACCAAAGCGTGCTGCTAATGAGAGGCACTGTTTGGCGCCCAGCTACTTCTCTGTGGAAACACAGCTCTCTCCCACTTGCCTCCCGACTGGTGCTTCTCAAAGTGTGGTCCTCAGACTGCACCTATTGACAGCTAAGACCCGGAGAGATGGCTCCGTGGTTAAGAGCACTGACTGCTTTCCCGGAGGACCCAGGTTCAATTCCCAGAACCTACACTGTGGCTCACAACCACCTGTAACTCTAGTCCCAAGAGATCTAATGCCTTCTTCTGGCTTCCTTAGGACACCAAGCATGCATGCGGTGTACAGACATACATGCAGGCCAAATACCCCTACCTTTCCAGGCTAGCCTCAAAATATCCCTTTGAAAGAAAAAGAAAAAGAAAGAAGCCAGACATGATGGCATACGCCTTCAATCCTAGCACTCAAAAGGCAAAGGCAGGTGAATCACTGTGAGTTCCTGGGCGGGGGGGGAGGGGGCGCGGGGGGAGGGGCGGTGGTTCCAGGACAGTCAGAGATACATAGTGAGACCCTGCCTTAAAACAAACAAACAAACAAACTTAAAAAGGGAAACAAAGGCATGGGATTCTACAGTGAATTATGGAGTCCACAGGCTCACAGGCAAAGGTGCCAGGAAGCCTTTTATTCCAGGAAGGCCTTGAGTTCGGGTAAGAGTCCTGGGTCCAGGCCATCAGGGAAGGGAAGCTGTGGGCCCAGCAAGTGTGTCAGAAGGGCACCTGGAAGGGACCAAGCTGGTGCTCCCACAGAACGCTCTGCCTCCCTTTCCCGGGCAGACCTTTGCTGCTTTCCTGGGAGCACCAAGTGTGTGGGTTCAGACTGCAGGCCGAGGTAGTTGTCACTCTCCCTACTCATGCTTCTCAACACGGTCCTGAGACCGCAGCCACCGACAGCTAAGAGCTTAAAAAAAGATGCATATTCTCGCATCCCACCCAACCCACTGAGGCAGAACTCAGGCTGTGGGGTGGGAAACCCACTCGAGTCAATCGGGGTGGGGTCTGGGGGCTCCTGCTCAAAGGCAAGCCGTGCCTTTGCAGACCTCAGTTGCAGCTGGGAGAGTCACGTGACCCCACCAGCTGTGGATGGCTCTGGGAAGCACTGCTTTCTCCATACAGAGCGGGTAGCAGAGGTGCTGCAGCCCCCTTTGTCCCCTCACCCCATCTGGAGAGCGGAGAGCCTGCCAGCATGGTAAGAGCTTAAGGACAAGGTGCCAGGGACTAGTCCTTGAGGCCTACCAAGTCCCACGGCAGCCTATCCTCTGTGGAGTCTGTCAGGAGACTGTTAGGCCCCTATTTATTGGAGCCACAGACAAACCCACTTGTGACAGGTAAGATCTGAAACTGTCACGGAGTTAAAAAGCACTGGTGACAGAAGGCAGAGAGAGAGGACAGAGAGTCAGGGAGAATCAGAGACAGACGAAGACAGAGACACAGTCCGACTTCTCTCTCCAGCTAGATTTTTGGAGGCTGATGGGTATGTAGCATGTGCCCTCCATGCCAACTCTGCAAGCAAGCACAATTCTCAGCAAGCATGTTTCGGGGAAGGAGCTGCCACTAGGGTTCTGGGGTCAGCGAGAGGTTGCCAGGGTCTCCTGGGAGGCCTGGAGCTGGTGCGGGGTCTCACCTGGGTTGCCTTGGTGGGTCTCGGCTGCCCCCGACCAGGCCTGGAGGGGTACTGGAGCCTGAGGAGTACAGCTTTGGCCGGTAGCCCTTGTTCTGGCCAGCGACTACAGGTGCAGGGGAGACTTCCCGCCGTCGGTCTGCAGGGTGGGGTCTTCCGGCGGCCTCCCGGCCCCCGCCACAAAGGCCTATACTTCCAGGAGGTTTGTGTGGCTTGCCAGGCCTAGGTGCTTTGGCCAAGGACATACAACTGGGGCTGGAGGTGTAGAGTGTGGTGTCAATGCCACTGTCACTGGAGCCGCCCTTGGAGAAGGGGTCCTGCTCTGGCTCTAGGGGGTCCAGAGGGTCGAACCATCGGTCATCACTGTGGCTGCTGGAGGCATTGCTGGAGAGGGTATTGCTGCTGGAATGGCTTGAGTACTGAGGTTCACCCTGAAAGGCAAGGCAAGTGTGTCATCTCGATTCTAGGGGTGGGAGCCTCTGCCCATACTAGCACCCCAGAGCCAGGCATGTCCACATCATGGCTCCTCCCCTACTGGTATAGCCACCCTAGACAAGTGATTTACTTTCTCCCTGCCTCCGTTTATACATCTGTAAAATAGGTGTGTGATAAAAAGCCCTGACTCACTTGGTACTCAGATCAACACATCTCCAACTGAGGTCTGGGGCCTCCTCCTAAGCCCTTCACAATGGTACCTCCATCTTTTCAGCACCCGCCCTGCAAACCTGCTGCCTACGTATGGCAGACACATGCTGGAACTGCCATGATGGTGTGCTCCCGTTCTCCCTGGGTCCTGTCTGCCATTACCTCCCACAGGGCCACCGCTGTACCCTCCTCTCCATCTCCCCATCTCATGTGGCCAGAGGAAAGCTGTGAGCATCTGCATGGAACCATGTCCCCCCTCCCTGCTCGAAACTCTGCTGTGGCAGTTTCAGGGAGCAGTTCATGAGTCCTGGCGGTCTGACTCATTCACGCTCTGTGTCGTGGTGTCCCCCGTCATCGTCGTCCCCCCCCCCCCCCCCCCCCCCCCCCCCCCCCCCCCCCCCCCCGGTCTCTCTAGAGCATGCCTTGCTGTTCTCTGTACCAGGCACAAGCCTCAGGGTCTTCGCACTTGCTGCTCCCTCTGTCTGTGACACTCTTCTCTCAGCTCTTTTTATGGCTCTTTCCTATCTTCATTCAAGGTCACCTCCTGGGCTGGCTAGTTTTATGTCAACTCAACACAAGCTAAAGTCATCTGGGGGGAGGGAGCCTCAACTAAGAAAATGCCTCCATAGGACCGGGCTGTAGGCGGGCCTGTTGGGCACTTTCTTACTTAGTAACTGATGGGGAGGCCCCAGCTCACTGTGGGTGGTGCCATCCCTGGGCTGGTGGTCCTGGGTTCTGTAAGAAAGCAGGCTGAGCACTGAGCACGCCATGGGGAGCAAGCCAGTAAGCAGCTGTCCTCCATGGCCTCTGCATCAGCTCCCGCCTCCAGGTTCCTGTCCTGCCTGAGTTCCTGTCCTGACTTCCTTCAGTGAACAGTGCTGTGGAAGTGTGAGCTGAAGAAAGCCTTTCCTCCCCAGCTGCCTTGGTGTTTTCACCACAGCAGTAGTGACCCCGACGAAGACACTCCCAGGGCTTTGCTGACGGTATTACCTAAGGCCACAGTGTAAGTCAAGCAACCGTAACTGGGCTTTTTTTTAGCAACGTATAAATGCTGTCCATTCAGTGACTGCTGCCACACTGGGAGTCAGCTTCCTGAGGACAGTGGCTCCTCTGTCCTCTTCACTATAGTCCCAGTGCTCGGCATGTGGAACGAGGCTGCCAAGACCAAACTAGATAGGCAGACTCCATCTCCCTGCCTTCTTGGCAGAGATGGGGTCCTAGCCATTGCAAGGTAGGTGGAAATGACTCATTCCATCTCTGGCCTGGGCTGAAAAATCTCTCCCTGGAACCTCTTGCCCTCTTATCCTACTACTTCAATAATGCAGATCCTGGGGAGGGGCCCAGTGGGGGTCTGGAGGCCCCGGGGGACAGCATAGAGTCTGATTCACCCTGTGCATTCACATTGCCCCTTGCAGACCCGCACTGCATCCTTCTGGGGAAAGACTGGCCGAGGAGGCGCCTACCAGAGGCCACACCCAGAGAAAGCCACCCAGCCCTCAGCAGCCATGTGCCCAGGAAAGACGCCAGCCAGCAGCCAGCCGCTACAGGCCTCACTCCCTGGATGAGGCAGGGTAGGGCCGGGCAGGGCAAGGCACAGACTCACTTTGGAATGCCTGTTGGGAGAATCTTTGCCAGCCGCGTCCTGCCTGGAGGGGTGCTTGCTGCCACTGTTTCCAGTTATGGCCGAGAGCCGGGCCTGGGCCGGCACGTGCCACAGAGGCTCTGCAAGGAAAGAGGAGACAGACAGGAGGTTAGGAGTGAGGCGGGCCAGGGCCTGAAGGATCTACCCTGAACTATGGCTGCACGGTTCCACTCTCTGACTAAGCTGTCTGCTCTGGAGGCTCTACCAATGCATGCTCTGGGCTACAGCAGGACTCAGTTGTAGTGGATATTTACTGAGCACATATTACATGCCCGGAAGCACTCTGAGAGTCTTACGTGGCTAATGCAGTGAAGCATACAACCTTCCTTCATCATCCCCCAAGGAGGCTGAGCACACTTGCCGCGTAGGGCCAGCTGGGGCATCTCTTTATACAGGACATGCTCACTTCCTTCCAGTCATTCTTTAACCTCACTGATGGATTGGAAGGTCTTTACATTTTATTTAACTTATATTTATTTCACCTCTGTGTGTGTGTGAGTGTGGGTGCTTGAGTGCCATGGCATATGTGTGGAGGTCAAAAACAGCTTTTGGGAATTGGTTCTCTCCTTCCAATGTATTGGGGTGGGGTATCTCTCGTTCTTTATTCTGCTTCATTCCAAGCTAGCTGGCCCCAGCTTCCAGGATTCTCCTGTCGCTGTCTTCCATCTCACTGTACGAATGCTAGGATTACAGATGTGCACCACATCTGGATTACAGATGCACACCACCACATCTGGATTACAGATGCTTACCACCATATCTAGATAACAGATGCACACCACATCTGGATTACAGATCCACACCACCACATCTGGATTACAGATATGTATCACATCTAGGTTACAGATGCACACCACCACATCTGGATTACAGATGCACCAGGTGATGGAGGCGCACGCCTTTAATCCAGCACTTGGGAGGCAGAGTTAGGCAGATCTCTGTGAGTTTGAGGCCAGCCTGGTCTACAGAGCAAGATCCAGGACAGGCACCAAAACTACACAGAGAAACCCTGTCTTGAACCCCCCCACCCCCCAAAAAAAACAAAGATTACAGATGTACATCACCACATCTGGCCTTTGTGTGGGATCTAGGGATCTGATGTAGGTTATCAGGCTTGTGTGGCAACTGCTTTACTCATCAAGTCAACTCCCCAGCCCTGCATTTATTTATTAAAATTTTTATTACTTTATTTATTTGTGTGTGTGCACACGTCCCTGGGGATTGGATTCACTATACAGCCCGGCTGGCCCGCGACTCATTCTGATCCTACTCTTTCAATCTTCCCAGTGTTGGGAGTGTTGGGACTGTAGACGTGCACCATGTCTGCATACATCAGTTGCTGGACAGCCCCAGAACTAGTAAACTGGGTATCGGAACCATCTCGAATAGAAGGGTACCATCAAGGCTCAGAGAGAGAGAGAGTAACTGGTTCGAGATCACGCAGTCAGAAATGGTCAGGCAGGAAGTGGATGTCAGCGTCTATGCTGCCCAGTCCCCATCTTTCTGGGGTTCCCTGCCTGTCCCCAACTGGCAGTAATTGCAAGGGCTTGGAAAATATTCTAAGGACAGGCAGTCCTGGGGCCTGGTAGGCATGACTCATTAGACCCTCAAGGGATGGGGTCACCGCAGAGGTCCTGTGTATGACCGGAAACTTGCTGCCAGGTCCATGGGAGCATGAGCTTCCAGCCCAAAGCTGAAGGCCCCAGGGCAGCCCAGGGCACCGCAGAGTCCATGATCCTGCTGAGGAAGATGGGCCTGGTTTAGCAGACACTTTCTCAACCTGGGTGCTCTGTGGTACAGGAAACATGTGGCTGTATCCACACCCTGTAGATGGTGGAGTGATCCAACAGGCTTCAGTTCAAATCTCGATTATGCCACTCACCAGCAACAACCTCCGGTGAGGGATAACCCATCCATGCCTCACTGCCTCATTTCTGCAGTAGGAGAGTCACGGTGCCCGCTGCTGTGACTCAGCGGAAGGGACCGTGGGGCACCTAGTACAAAGCCAGGCATATGGCGATTGCACAAAACCAGGCTGCAGATGCCATGACTGCCCACTGCATGGAGGCTGGGCAAAGCCTCTGCCACTGCTTCGGATCTTTGCCACCCCTTGTCACTCTTCCTGAATCTCCCCCTTTCTGGGTCTTCTACATGTTCTAAACTTCTTGATGGTTTCTTAACACAGATCTTCCCAGTGTACATGTGTGCACGTGTGTGCGTCAGGGAAGGTGTTAGTCACCTTATAATTAGGGCTCGGGGAAGGGAGGGGGTACTGGGGTTCTAGGGGACAGAAGGGAAGTAGCAGGGTCTTTTGACCCCCATCTGGGGCCTGTGCTGAACTGGAAAAGGCTCCTCATTTTGCACTTTGGTGTGACAAAGAGCCAGGCAACATTCCTCTCCTTGTCTGAATGGAGTGGGAAAATAAAGACCCATGAGCAGTACCAGGCAAGACCAGCTCATTGAGAAGGAATAAATGGTGAGGACGCCCTCAAGGCAGCAGAGAGATGCACAGCAGGGACAAGGCAACCCCCTACCCGGGCTGCACCACGATCCCTGGTTCAGGACACCCACACACTGTACCGAGTCCTCCCTGATGCTAATCCTGGGCATGTGGCTGAGGTCACCTTTCCCAGCTGCCTGCAAACCCTCGACACCTCCCAGGAGGACGTCTGCCTCTCCACCTCTTCTTTCTGGCACTTCGTTAGCCATCTTCCTTTGGAACCCACCCAACTGTTCATCAGGTCCTTAGGCTTCAAAGGGGCTACAAGGTGGTCACAAGAGATTGTGTTTAAAGTATTCATCCAAGTGGTGCAGGTACACAATTCATAATTATATCTGGGGTGTGTGTGTGTGTGTGTGTGTGTGTGTGTGTGTGTGTGTGTGTGTGTGTATAAAAGACGTTCAATTCCATTAGTCAGAAAAATGGAAATTAGACCCAATGGTGTGGTCATGCATGCCTGTAATCCCAGCACTTATGAGGTACAGACAAGGAGGATCAAGAATCCTAGGCCATCTTCAGCTACACAGTGAGTGTCAGGCTACCCTGGGCTACATAATAAGATTCCCTTTCTAAATGAATGAATATGTTAAGTTCAATAAAACTGAATTAAAAGAAAGAGGCAAAGAAAAGCACACCATGTTAGCACTATGTCCACTCCAATGGTCCAAACAGAAACGTTGAGGACAGACACAGAGCCTTGCCACTAGTAGGAGTGGAAACAGTTCAAGACCCTGAGTAGTGGGTTGGCAGTTTCTTATAAAGTCAAACACATGATCCAGCTGTTCTATGTCTAGGAACACATGCTCATGAAGAGATAGAGGAAACAGCCTCGAACTGTCCCCTCAGCATCCTCCAGCACAAAAGAATACTAAGTACAGAAATCCCATCATTCAGTCACACGGCTGCCCGGAACTAGCGTGACACTGAGCCACAGAATCCAGAAGCACATGAGCAAAGCCATGGCATGATTTTATAGTCTGTGTAGTCCAGAGAAAGCCAAGAAGAAGGGAGGTCATCTGTCAGACCAGCAGGGAGAGGCCCTAGGGGAGGGGCCGACGGCACTGGGGCCCAGACGCCTTACCTGGTTTTGGGCGCTCCATGGTGCTCTCTTGGCTAGTCAGGCCACCTGAAGAGGAGTCGCCGCTGGACATGCCATCGTGCATAAAGTGAGGGTCGAATGACAGTAGCGGGTGCGGGGCGGCCGCGTACCTGCAAGGTAGAGGGGGACACAAGGTGAAGTCCCCGTGTGGTGGCGCCAGAGGAGCCCGGGACCTGCTTGCCAGTGGTTTTTTAACACTCAGGAGACTCTGCTGTGGGCTGGGGTGATGAGCTGCTGGCAAGGCTGGGCGAGGCAGCCTGGTATCTGCTAATAACTGAAGCTCAGCGAAGAGGCTCGCCTGGGACGCCTGCCAGGGGGGTGGCGGCAACAGGAGCGCAGGGTACAGCAGCCTTCCCGAGGAGGGAGGGCGCAGCGCCACTTGGGCGACTGCCCTGCTTACTCAGGCTTCTGCCTCTTGGCTGTAGAAGGGGGGTATCTAGCCTTCCTTGGAGCTTTGGCCTCAGGCTCACTGTAGGCTCCCCTTTCTCTGAAGGAGCTAGACCAATCAGGCAGCATTTTGTGGGTACAGCAGACCCAGACTGGAGAGGATGAGTTCCATACCTCACTGTTGTCTTTTGCCTGGCCAGGTATAATCAATTTCTAGGCCAGAGCCTCAGTTTCCCCAGCTGTTAAGAGGTGACTATAACAGGCCCTTTCTTACAGCACTTGGCATGTGTCTGACACCTGACACAGGGGGAGTTGAGACATCCGGCCCACAGTCTATACCAGCGTTCCTTTGCTGCTGGAGGAGGACTCCACAGTGGCTTAAAAACAAGGCAGATTTGGACTCAAACCCCAGCTCTCAGTTGGGCAAGGGCTTTGATTGAGTTATGGTTGTTTTTTGTTTTGTTTTTAGGTTTGTGATTGATTCTTTTTTATAAAAATAATTTATCTATCTTTGTGTGCATTGGTGTTTTGCCTGCATGTATGTCTGTGTGAGGGGGTCAGATCTTGGAATTACAGACAGTTGTTAGTTGCCATGTGGGTGCTGGGAATTGAACCCAGGTCCTCAGGAAGAGCAGTCAGTGCTCTTAACTGCTGAGCCATCTCTCCAGCTCCATGATTCATTCTTTTAAAAATATTTTTTATTGTTGGCAGTGGTGGCTCACACCTTTAATCCCAGCACTCAGGAGGCAGAGGTAGGCAGATCTCTGTGAGTTCAAGGCCAGACTGGTCTACAAAGTGAGTTCCCAAACAGCCAGAGCCATTACACAGAGAAGCCCTGTCTAAAACAAAATAAAATGAAACAAAACATATATATTATGTGTGTGCACATTTATGTGTGTGCACATGTGCCTAGACCACAACACACATGCAGAGGTCAGAGGACAACTTGCAGGAGTCTGTTCTCACCTTCTACCATATGGGATCTAGGGACTGAACTCAGGTCAGCAGCAGGTGCCTTATCCACTCAGAAATCTCGCTGGCTCTGCCTTTTTGTTTGTTTTCATCTTGTTTTGAGACAGCATCTCATGTAGCCCACACTGGCCTGAACTGGTTATCTAGCCAAAGATTACCTTGAACAGCTCTTCCTGCCTCCCATCTTCCCTGGTGCTAGGATTATCAGTGTGTACCACTGTACTGGGCTGAGCTGTAGTTTTTATATTTGATAATCACTGCCAAGGTTGGGGAGTGGAGAAACAGCAGAGATGCCCCCAGACAGCAACACATACCACAGGCAAGGGCCAGAATTCAAGGGAGCTGGTGGCGGAGAGCTGGGAGTTTGATTGTGGGGGCTGCTATGAACACCTCTTGTTTTGGGGCTTGAGTCTGGAATGACACTCCCATGTGAGAGCTTGTGTTTTAGAAGCTTGGCCTCAGCTGCTGGTGCTGTTTTGGACGGTTCTAGAAACTTAGGGAGGTGAGTTCTAGCTGGAAGAAATAGGTCACTAGTGGGTTCAGACTGTCCTTGGTCGCTTCCTGCGGCTCTGTCTCCTGGCCTGCTGTGATGGGAACAGTTACCTTCCTCCACATGCTCCTACAGGCACACGGAGCCAAGCAGCTATGGATCAACCCCCATGAAACCATAAATCAATTCTTCTCCTGAGTTGTTTTTGCCAGACACGTGGTCACAGCGACACAAAAAGCAAGTAGACTCTGTGCCCGCCTCTGTCAGAACACGGTCCAAGAATGGAGTCGTGTGAAGGGAACTCTGAGGGCTTGTGAGAAAACTCCAAGAAACCAAGACAAGAGTCTCATGACCTGCTTCTTCAAAGACATGGAACTGTTCTTGGAACACGTTTTCATGCTCCTCCTATGTAGCAGATGGGAGTGAGTTGACTTCAGATTATGCATTACAACCAGCTGTTGTTACTTGTCTACATGACTCTATGGAGAAACATGTTTCAGCCATGTGTGGCTTGTCTTTGCGATTGGGCACTTTACTCACATGACTCTTCTTAACCTTCAGAGTACAAATTGCCTGATGCTCTGAATAAAGCTGCCTATTGCATGAGACTTTAGTCCGCCTCATTCATCGGCTCCATTCTCCCAGGTCCCACCGCCTCTAGAGCAGCGAACACCCCTCACTCCCCATGTCAGTCTACCTCAGGCCACTCATGGAATGGCCTTGGCCTTTTCTGTTTATCTGGGGCTGGCTCAGGGACAGGCAGAGGCACGGTTTGGGATGAATGGCGGTTTATAGTAAAGACGTCTAAAAACTATTTGTGACTTTCTACTTCCATAATGTCACGGGCCAGATTTCCTGACCCCTGTGACTGGCTTGGTGGCGATGACCAGTTCTCACTATTGAACTGGAAGAGGAAGTGATGGGGAATGACAGCTGCTGGGACAATCTGGGGGAAGGGAAGGGATGGGGTGGGGTGGGGTTGGCTGGAGCAGGGAGAGATAATAGCCGCTGGGACAATCTGGGTCCTGTGAAGTCCTCAGTTAACCAACAGTGCAACTTCGGAGTAGAGGAGAAACTTCGTTATTTTGGGGGACAGGGTTTCATGTAGCCCATGTTAGCCTTGAACTCACTATGTAGTTGAGGAGTAACTTGAACTCCAGAGACTCCTGGAATTATAGGCGAGTGCCCATTTTAGGAATCTGGGCTTTGTGCATGCTGAGGCAAGTAGTCTATCAACTGAGCTACATCTCCAACCCTTTTTTTCTTTGGTGCTAGGACTGACTTGAGACTCTTAGGCACAATGAACTACATCCCCTCAGACCCCAAATAAAACTTTGTTAACATAAGTTTCAGAGATAATCTGACTGAAATGGGAGGATTGGAGTCCAGGGGCTTCTGGCAAACATCTCCATCTCCTTGCTCCTAAGAAAGATAAGAAAAGATATCCTCTGTGGGCAATGGTACTTGCTGCCAAGTCTGATGACCTGAGTCCAATCCCTGGGATCCACATGGTAGGAAAAGAGAACAACTCCTGCAAGTTGTCTTCTGCCTCCACATGTAGGTCATAAACTATGCACGTGTGCATGCACATGCATGTGCACACACACGCACGCGCACGCGTGCACGCGCACGCGCGCGCGCGCGCGCGCACACACACACACACACACACGCTGTGGTGGTTTGACTGAGATGTCCCCCATGATCTTGGGCATTTGAATACTTGGTCCCCAGTCGGTGGCACTGTTTGGGGAGGTTTAGGAAGTGTGGCCTTGTTGGAGGAAGTATGTCATTGGAGGTAGGCTTTAAAGTATAAAGGTACTGAGTGGTAGTGGCATATACCTTTAATCCCAGCACTCGGGAGGCAGAGGCAGGCAGATCTTTGTGATTAGAGGCTAGCCTGGTCTACAATAGTGAGTTCCAGGACAGCGAGAGTTACACAGGGAAACCCTGTCTCAAACAAACATAAAAGTATAAAGGTTCAAGCCATTTTGACTGCTCATTCATTCTCTTTTGCGCTTGTAGTTCAAGATGTGAGCCCTCATCTGCTGTTCTAGCTGCCATGTCTGCCACCTGCTGCCTCTGCTCTACGAATATGGCCTATAACATGCTGGAACACAAACCAAATCAACTCTTTCTTCTACAAGCTGCCTTGACCATGGTGCTTTTCACAGGAACAGAAAAGTAATGACATAGATGGCCTCTCACCTCCTCCAGATCTGGCGCGGCCTAGATAGCACACCATGAATGCCTCTCATCTTCCTGCCATCAGTCTGAAGCTGAGGCTGTTGCTGAGGGGACTGGAGATGACAAGGGCAATGCTGGGCCACAGGGGATGAGTGTTTCCTGAGCCCACCCTGCCTGGGCTTCCTTTGTGGTATAGAACGTATTTCTATGGGTTTTGAGCCCACTTTTTGAGGAGTGCTGAGCGTCTGTGGCCAATGCAGTGCTCCGTGCCTCCGAGGCCTCTGACTGGTTCATTCCGTTTCCCACAAGGTCAGTGTCAAATCCTGAGCACCGAAGGGAAAGGTCAGTAGAAGCTGGGATCAGCCAGGGAGAGTGGAGAGCACCAATGGCCAAGCCATGGGCTGCTGCCCAGTGTCTGCTCTGCATGGCCTGCTACTGGACTTCACCACACTTCCCAGGCTCCCTTGCAGTTCTGGTCAGTGAAGTAACAGTTAAAGTATGTAAGAAATCTTCTGGGGGGATGGCAAGCTCAAGGCCAGCCTAGGCAACTTAACGAGACTAATTCTCAAGACATAAAGTAACAAGGGGGCCGGGATGTAGCTCAGCAGCAGGGTGCTTGCCTACTATGTGTGAGACCTTGACTTCAGTCCCTAGTACAGAAAACCACAAAAGCAAACTGGGCTGGTGAGACGGCTCAGTGGGTAAGGGCAGCTGCCTCCAAGCTTGACGACTTGAGTGGGATCCCCAAGACTCACTTTCAGTTGCCCCCTGATTTCCACACTTGCGCTTGGAATGCATGCAGCCACAAATATACACATGCACACAGACTAGCTAAAAATGCAACAGAAAAGCAAAACAACAAAAAACAATCCAAATCCAAAATGAAGAGCAGAGGCTCCAACAATGTGGGAGAAAGAGCGCTGCGTCATGCAGCCAAGCCTAACTGACAGGTGTCTCTCAGCTGATCCCGTTCAGGACAGGCTGTGCTGGTTCCAGTCACCTCACAGCTGCTGTTTGTTTGTTTTTGTTCTTTTGAGACGGGGTTTCTCTGTGTAGCTCTGGCTGTCCTGGAACTCC